ACACACACACACACACACACACACACACACACACACACACACACACACACACACACACACACACACACACACACACACAGTCGAAGAAGAAGCAGACCAGAGCGGGGGAGGGGGAGGAGAAGGGTGATGGACTAGAGGAAGAGGAAGAAGAAGAGACGAGCTCTCTCTCTCTGTACAGTACCTGTGAAAGGTGTTGCCTTGATGCAGGTATGGACGCACTGAAGATGAAGCTCAAGCGATGGCGTCACAGGTAAGTCCCCTGGGCTCCGCCATAGCCAGATCTCTTCCTAAACCCCGCTGCAGTAACTGCAGCTCAAGCTTGTGGCCAAAACCTAACGCATCGCCCAGCACTGGACGACTACTCAGCCCTACCTATCATCGACTACAACTACTACCTGAAGAATGCCTGGTGAAACTGAGGAGGGCCAGCTATACATAGTGCTGGTCCAGCCTCTCGAGGTACCCCGGATCGAACAGGGCCATTCGATCTACTGGGTGATCGGCGTTCCTACCGATCTGCTGCAAAACAGTCTTGGTGCCTAAACTCAAAACAGCGCTTGAATGGAAACAGGGCCTGGCGCCCACACAACTCGCGCCAGGGCCTCACTCGTAACCTGGCCTAGCTGGGCCTCTATGCAACAATACCGGTCCTAAACTGGACTGGTGTCAGACCTACCTGGTCTACCACCCTATGGGCCCTCGGATGGGCCGGAACGACACTAGTGCCTAACAGAGCCCTTCTCCTACTGGTCAGGCCCGGCAGGGCCCGTGTGGAACAGAGAATGCCACACCCCCCTCTCCTTGAAAGACCGAGCTTATCGGCGAGGGCGAAGCTGCCTATTGGAGGGAGGGACCGTAGTCCGGGTAGGAGGGGCAGGTTGTGAAGCGTCCTTGGCCAGTCGTTGTCACTCGTAGTTGGCGTAGATCGACGGTGCGGATGCTTGCAAGTCTGCTCGTGAAATCCACCGTGTGTACCTCCCGACTTCGAGGATGATCTCATGGCGAATTGGCCGATCCAGTACGATTCCGGCAGGAGATTCGAAGCCGTCATCTAAGGAGTCAAGAAACTCTACAAGGCGTGGGTCCGGTGACACTTCCGTCGCGGGCTCGTTGGGAAGAGGGAGGGCGTGCAAGACACAAATGCCCATTTCCTCAACGTCATGCCATGCGATGGAGTTGCAAATGCTTGCCGCGGAGACCACGTGACAACCAATCAAAGGTTGAGGCGGAGGAACCGTGCATGGGACGAGTACGCCGTTCCGATCAGGAACGTGAACGGTGCGACTGTAGAAGTTCACTGTGTGGTCCTCGCTTCGCAGCCACGAGATGCCTAAGATCATGTCGAACTTCGTGTCCGAAATGTCAAAGGACACGACCTCGCGTGCGTGCGGGCCAAAGGACACGGGTGCCGCGTCAATGCACCGGTCAATGGACTTGTGCGTGCGACCATCGGCCAACGTGACTTGCGTGGGCTGCGACTTCCTACGAACGCACGGGCGGAGGCCAGCGCGCACCATGAAGTCTTGGCTGATGTAATTGCGAGTAGCAATGTGCTGCAGGTCACCATCCCAATCTGCATGTGAATGTAAAGTAACGACGCATCAAAGTCATCGTACCGTTGCGTGGCGTACTCGCGGTCGATCTTCGCAATATACTCGCGAAGGTCAACAACCGCTACTCCGTCGTTCGTCAACATAGTTGGTACTTGCATAGCTCCGCCATCAAGGCGTTGCAATGCCATTTCGGCAATGAACCAGATGGGGGAAGAGGCAACCATTGGAAGTCTTCCATCGTGAACGAGTCGAGGTCCACAAGTCTTGACCACACCGATAAGTCCCCGGATGATAGAAGTGTCGGTGATAAAGTCAGTTCGCTTGCCGACGGTGATGAAACCGCGCATACGTGAGAGTCTTGCACGTGGAGGGGTAGGTCCAATGGAGGGACCAGCTGGACCGCATAGTCTTTGAAGTCTTCCTGAAGACGTGCGACATCCGCATGCTCCTTGGACGTGTAGGAGGTTGCTATCAAGGCAATCATGTCCGGCGGAATGGGAAGTAGAGTCGCCTCACTTCCCGTGGAGCTCAGTTTCCCAAGCTTTGCTGTGGACGAATGGCGTCTTTGCCCTTGTCGGAGCATTGAGTCAGTGTGTGCTTCTGATGATTTCGTTGTTCTTCACAAGGCTCGAAGAGTTGTTCAGGGCGCCCAAAAGTTCCTATCACAATGGCTCCAACCCATGGGCCTGGAACTCCATCCTGATAAAACTCACATGGTCACAATGGGAGAAGGATTCCATTTCTTAGCACATGACGTTCTCCACCTTGGCAAAGACTTCCACGGACTCGTCAGCAGAGTTGCTCCGTCCAAGAAATCACAGGAGACACTGGAAGGCGAAGGAGAAGGAGAAGGAGAAGGAGAAGGAGAACGAGAACAAGAGCGAGAACGAGAACGAGAACGAGAACGAGAACGAGAACGAGAACGAGAACGAGAAGGAGAACGAGAAGGAGAACGAGAACGAGAATGAGAACGAGAATGAGAAC